TTTTTTTCTTACCATTACTATTTGCTGCAATATTACATAGATAATTTAAATGTACATTTGACATTCCCGGATATAAATAAGTAGCAAGAAGCTAGAAGATTTGATATGTTATTAATTTAATTCGAATGAAATATTTTTTTATTTACTTTAGTACAAAGTACAATTCGATTTGTTACTGATGCAATATATGGAAATGGAGATAATTGACTACCATTATCTGATTTTGATAAGAAAAGACGTGCCCATTTTAAATAACTTGGTGGTGTTTGATTAAATAATCTTGGCATAAATATATTTGATGCAACTAAAACGGTAAAAATTTAAATTTACAGAAAAAAAATATACTAAAATATTTACTTGGAGATAATTGATGAGTTTTACGAACACGTTTAGAAATTTTCCAATTTTCAGCCAAATAATAATGGCGATATTCATGTAAATCGAAATCACTATCAAATTTAAAAAGAAATACATATTTTCAATCGAATAATCTAAGTAAAATATTTACCAAGCTAAAAGATATAATAATTCAAGTAACGGTGTACAATCTTTCGTATGATTTAATGTTAAATCCTAAATTATAAAAAACAAATTTCAAATCATAAAAAATTATAATTTTGTTTGTTACTTCATAAATAACATGTAAAGCACAAAGAATTTGTCCTGCATGTGCATATAATGGATCATTTGAATTAATTGTTGTATAACGATTAATTCTCTGTTGTTTTGGTTTATCATTTCGATCGTTTATATGTGTTAAGGTTGGAGTTGATGATACAGCTTTATGTCTTTGTTGTGGAAATATATTTGATATTATTGCTGGTGATGGATGTTCAACACTACCTGTTGATGTATCACCTGGATCAATTAATAATGATGTACTACTTGTACTACTTATATTATGTTGCCATTCACGTGCAGCATTTTCATCATTTTCATCATCCGATAAACAATCAACATTAGCTGGTATTATTGGAATATTATTTAATCCATCATCATGTTCATCATGTGATAAATCCGGTGTTTTATCAAGTAATTGTAATGTTATATCATCTTTTCGAAATAATTTAAATAAATTTGGTTCAATACGACGAATTTCATTTAACATAAATGGCCAGTCTTCATCGGTATCATTAATATCAATTTTAGTTTTTTTTATTGTTTGTGGTGGTGTTGGTGATGATGATTTTGATTCTAATCGTTTTATATAGGAACATTTACGTAAATCATAACCAATTAATGTTAATAATGTTTTAACAAATGTATACCATTCTGTGGGAGAATGTTCATGAATTGGATCAATATTTGATGAATAAAAAATAGCGATAAATTGATTAAATACCTCACGTGGTACACATGAACATACTGCTTTTAAAGCAGATAAACCTTTAAGAGAAAAAAAATAAAAATTGAAAAAAAAACAAAAGTAATTTTACATAATGGTGTATGACATATATTTGGTAATTCGACAGTATAATAACGGTTATTTTGTAATTTAAGATTGAATAATCGACTACGAACATCATCAAGTGATTGATAATGTGTTATAGTAGATAGAAAATTTCCTGTATTTCCAGAACCACCTGGTGTTTGAATATGTGAAATCGCTGTTGGATTTAAATCATTGAGACTTTCATCACATAAATATGCTTGAGGATTTGCAGCCGGTGTTAATGTTGATGAAACAGGTGAGGAAGGAAATTTCTAAGAAGATAGTTATTTTAGAAAATTTTCAATATTGATAAAAGAATAGGTATACTAGTGGTAATGGTGTTCGATGAAAACTTGTTGGACGGCTTGATGTTCGAACACGTTGATAAGGTGTATAACGAAGAAAAAAATTTGATGATAATGGACCCGTTTCTTCATGTAAAAGAACTTTTGCAATCTAAAAATTTAATTTAAATAAATTCCAAAAAACTCAAATCTTCGAAATTTACTTTCGATGCTCCAGAATACAAAAGTATCGAACGATTTAGATCAAGTACAACAAGAAATTTTAATGACTAAAACAAAAATTATTGATTCAATATATGAATATAATTAACTTACGGCGACAAAAACTGCATCTCTTGCACTGATTGTTTCAACTTTATTTACACCAGTATTTACTGTTCCAAGTGTTGTTTTTTCAAGTAAAACAAGTCTAGAATTATATTAAATTACGCAAAATATATATATTTTTTTTTTTACCGTAATTGTCTAATATGTGGCAATAAAAATGCAACCCATCGATGATCTGATAAATCTCTTACACCGAAAAATTTTGTCGCACATTGTTCGGGATCTCTAGAAAAACATGAAATAGAAGATGAATCATCATTGTTTGTTCTGTCGTACTTAGATAATGTGTTGTTATAGGTTGAATCTGACCAAATAAATTCTACACAATAATCTGGACAAAGTGGATCAGGTATCGAATTTGAATGTGTAGCACAATCAGCATTAAGCGTAGCCATAAAACTTCCATTCGTACCCATTCGATCAATTAATGCTGTTGTTGGCAAATGTGATACATTCGTTGTTCCACCATTTCCCAATGTTAATGTTGAACATGAAAATGGTGTAGCTGCTGTTGTTGATGATAAAAACTGAGATGGAGGTAAACGGGATGTTCCACGATTAATTGAATCTGACAATGGTGATCGTCTGTATAGAGATATAGATATTAAATGTATAAATTATACTGAAAAGAAAATATTTCATACGAAATAACTGCCATTGTTGCTAATCTTCTTGGATTTGTTAATAGATGACTTGGATTTGGTGATGAATTTCCTCCTATGCCTGTACTTGTTCCACCTCCCACTGTTGTTGTTAATATACTTGAACGTCGTGATAATGTATTATTCAACATTGATATTTGTGCAAGTGACATATTTGGTTGATTGAGTAGAGTTTGATGATGATTATTTCCTTGTAATAAATGACTTTCATTTAATGTTGGTAATGTCATATTTGTTGCTTGATGACGATCCTTTTTTAAATTATAAAAATAGAAGAATAAGAAACAAAAACACGAAATATTTACTTCATCAGTACATTTTCTTAATAACCATAGACTATGTACTCGATCAATTTCATCAAAACGTAATAAAAGTTGTTCATCAATTGCTAAACCTGCTGTTGTATACATATGTTTATCTGAACTATAAAACCAATCACCATGGTGTCTTGATATAATCGGTTTAACTTCATCAAGTGGATGAGAAAGTGAGAATAAATTTGGAAGATAATGATCATTTCTATTTAAATAAAAATAGTTAAAAAAAAAAAGAATTCATTTATTTATTTACGATTGTCGTTCAATAGTTAAACCATTTTGAAATGGCCAAACTTTTGAGACCTTTTTTAAAAAGAACAAGTATTTATTTTGATAACAATAAATTTTATTTATATACAGAAAATGGTAGAGCAACTTTTGTATATCCTGTATCCATTCCAAGTACAGTTAAACAATTTTGTTCAACTATAACTGGAAATTCTGTTCCACCATGTTCACCTAAATTTTTGATAAATTATATTGAAAATAAAACATGAATTTAATTAGTTTTTTTACAAGACATTGAGCATTGTTCAAATTTTGTCCATAAGAGCTAAAAAGGAAAAAGAATTTTTGTTTTTTGTATTGTAAATAATTATTTATTTCTACTTTTTTTGGTATTGTATCAGTAGTAAATTCCATATAGGATGGACATTGAATATTTTGAAGTGGATATGTCCAAATAATATGTGAACCTCGAGAATAAATTTCTTCATCACCTTGACGATTACTTGTTGCACTTATTGACCATAATTCCTTTAGAATAAAAAAATGAAATATTCGATTTTTTTAATTATCTATTTACTTGTTCAGTATTTATAGCTGTATCTTCATTAATATAGTTTGCTCCATTTGGTTTAAACGGTGCTACTTTACTAACATTGATCATAGCTAAACAAAAATTGAAAAATCACATTAAATTTTATAGAAAATACAAATTCAACCTGCAGGTTGCATGATTTATAGTTAATATTGAATAGTTTTACATGAAATATGATTGTTCATCTAGAAAAAGAATGAAGATTTTGTTCGTTGTTTCGCATCATTTTAACATTGGCTATGGTATCAACCAATAATAGAGAATACATATATATATATACCATATGTTTAAACTTAGAAATAAAATTATCTATAGTCCAGTTATAGAATCTAAAGAGAAAGGTTATTTGACAATCATTTAAGATAATTTGTATAACTAACAATCCTAGATGGTGTACGATTGTACGAACTTTAATAACAAATTCCAATAGAACATTTGCTGAATTAGTTCTCTACAAATCTCAGTTGAAAGGCAAATAAGTTCTATGTCTTGTTCGATTGAATAAATCTTTGTTTAGATGAAATATTTCTTATACTGAAATCGAGTTCTATTATTCAAAATAATACATTAATCTTAATCATATTAAGTTGAAGAGTTTTTCGTAAATTGTTAATTGCAACGAAACATAAAAAATAATAAGAAAATTTTCACTCTGTATTATACTTGAAAAACACTGAAACCTGACTTCAATTATTCATTGTCTCTTAGATTCCGGTACCAAATAATTGACAGGAATAAAAAAGATCATATTTGACAAGCTATTAAAGTCTTTTTATAGCATTAAAAGAGTGTGCCGGATAATGTTCAAATTAGTATGCTGATCTATAAATATCTAATCTATGGATGATACAATAGGTTCGTATAGGTAGAAAAAGAAGTACTTGAGTTAATATAGAACACCTACATATTTTCAAAAATAAAAACAATTATTGATGATTCAAACTGATTAATAAATAATGACTCATATTCATTCGAAATTATTCTACAAATAAATTCATCATATTTTAATATATTTTACAAAAGAATAAAGCTGAAATATCATTTTTTAAAGTTGACAAACAAAAAAATCAACATAGTAGAATGCGAGTTTAACATAAGTAGAAAAAACAAAAGTGAAAAAAAAATAAATTGTTCAATTTAATCATATTTTACACCACTTGATTTTTCATTATAATAAGATGGTGGTGGTGGTGCTGATGGTGCAGTTGATCGATTATTATTATTACCACCATAACGATTTCGAATATTATCAATTCTATCACAAAATTTAATAACACGTTTTGTAAGAATACCTTCAATAAGTGTCATAAATGGTTTAGCAATAAATGAAAACATTCCTAATTTTCGATATATAAGTCGACGTGTATAAAAATTTAAACCTGTATTAATAACTCCATCAATAGCGACATTACGTTGTGGAACCAATTCTGGATTGTCTAAAAAACAAGGACAATTAAAATAATATTTCTTTTGTTTTTCTCTTTCTTACCTTTATAAAATTGTACATCACGTTGACTCATTGAATATAATTTCGATCCAACACTAATAACAGTTGTAAGATCATTTGCAACTGCTTTAATAAAATGAAGAATACCAGCAAGTATACCAATAATAATTGCTAATGGAATACCAACAGTAAAAAAATGTATTAAACGTTGACCTAATGATCGTTTTGGTCGTTGACGTTGAGCTTCAGGTGGTGGAGCTGCGATTGGTTCATCAGAATTTAAATGTGATAGAATATTCGAAACAGTTATTGTTTCATCTTCGATAAATAATGATCGAGCAGCAATTTTTAATGCTGGACGAATTAAAGAAAAAAGTGCAAATTTTACACTTGTTAAATGATCAAGTGCAGCAACTAATGGTTCATGACAATAAGCTGATACATCAAATTTATTGCCAACCATTCGTGCATAAGGTGGTGAAGCATTTCCTTAAAAAATATTTATCAAATAGTTCTTTTTTTTGGAAGAAACAAATTGATTATTTTACCTGTAGTCATGTTTGAATGAGTAAAACAAGTTTGATCGTTACAATAAAGTGCTGTCAATGAATAGATACTGAAACAAAATGATCGCTATGAGTAAATAAACAAGGTGAAATATAGTAGCGTCCTCTATTTTTTTTTGAAGAAAGAAATCATCGCGAAGCACGTAGACATATTATTCTTTCTGTCGTTTTGTTCTCGAATGATAAATGAATCATGAGTGAAAAATCATGATATCGTAATTAGAAAAAGTTCATCTTGTTATTCAATCGTTTCTAATATTGAATTTTTTTTCAAGAATAGAGAGATTGGTCAATCTATATTATCCATATATTTTACTTTTTTATGTAAACATATTATTAAATCTTCCGAAGAAACTTTCGGTAGAAACTCACTCATCAGTACTTATAATGATGTACTGGAAAAACTCTTCATAATATAAATCTGCACTTGACGTGTCTAATTTATTTTAACTGATTAATGCTTATCTTTCATAACGTAGATTCATTCCATCGACGATTATTTTATGTAATTAATCGAAATAAATTTCTAGGACATAGTATATACAACAAAAACAAAGTTTGGAATATATTCTACATTTAATTCTCTTTTTGTAAAACCAGGTATTCGATTTTTGATAATAAAGGATTATTCTAGCATGTCACACGTACCACTTCGAGACAATGGTTAAATAAGTAAAATTGTTCTAACACTAGTCATTCGACTAGAATAAGATTATTTATAAGCATCTTTAGAAGAATACTGATACTAAGAAAAATATCAGATTTTGTTAAAACAATGAGGGTACCTTATGTCAATATTTCAGTGAAATAAGAGACCTCGATTTGATCTGTCTACACATTCTTTTAATTTTCTGATGCATTTTGTAATTCTATCGTGTGAACGTAATTCAAATATGAGCGAAATGAACTTTGAGCTTGAAGCTGAAAAGGACAGGTTACAATAATGAGAATTTATATACGTATTCTAATGACATCGATAAATTGTGCATGACATTTTGTTACCAGGCTACAAAATATTTCTTTCGATTGAATAATTCTTCGATGTCGCTTTTACTCTTATTTAATTTCTTCAGTATTCACATGTTTTGTTGTTATGGTACTTAGATACTAAAAAGTTTTCTATTCAAGATGCTTTTATTCAATTATCATTCAATTCATAGTCTTGAACACATTTCTAACAATCAAAATATGATATACTTCCCTAGATGTAGAATTTACAGTTAATAATACGTGTTAATTTTTTTTTGACAAAAAAAGAAGATATTGAATTATATATATATCGTCTTTCTTCAAACACCTGTCAGAATAGATCTATATGGATGATAAAATCATATCATTAGTCACGAAGAATTTTTTTCATACTTATTAAGAAGGAAAAAAAAACGATGAACAAAGACATATTTGTTATTATAATTTAAAATATTACACAAAGAAAAAAAGAATTTATATTTATATCTTCATATAGAATGTACGTGAAATTCTTTTAAATATATTTGAAATTGAAAAACGGAAGAAATTTATTTTTCTCAATAACGCTCAATAAAATAATAAATGTAACTATAACAACAGCATCATTTTCTCCCAGTCCTAAAGAATGCTCATTCTCTTGTCAAATCAAAAAAACTTTTTTTAATATCAAGTAACGATAGTGAATACACCCACCCATTATGCAGCTTTTCTCTCACACTCTCTCTTTTTTTTTGCATCCGTAGTCTTCTATTAAAAACTCAAGAAGAGGAAGAAGAAGAAAGAGAAAAAAAGAAGAAGCCGAAACGAGATATTATATAGATTTTCATTTGTGTTCTATTTAACAATAAGGGTGTCAACCTAAGTTATGTCGTCGTCATTGACTGCAAAAGAGTTGAATCAACTTACTGAAGAAACTGGCTTAAGTAAATTATCTATACAAGATTGGCATAAACGTTTTATACAAGAATGTCCAACGGGTAGTATATCAAAAGAACGTTATATTAATTTATATCGTTCATATTATCCTCGTGCACGTAATTCAGATACATATGCGCAAATGTTATTTACTGCATTTGATGAAGATCGTGATCAAGCATTAAATTTTCGTGAATTTCTTCGTGTTGTAACAGTTAGTCAAGGTTCAGATGAAAAAGCTAAACTTGAACTTGCTTATAAAGCTTATAATCGTAATCAATCCGATGCTAATTTAACTCGTAAAGAATTACAAAATGCTTTAACAGCTATATTAAATTTAGTTGAAACACAAGATGACGCAAATGAACCTAATGATGCCGATAAACGTCAAACAACTATACAATGGGTTATGCAACGATTAGGTTTAGATGAAAAAACTGAAATAACAAAAAAAGAATTTATACGACGTTCAAAAGGTGATCCAAGTTTATATGAATTTTTAGCATTTCATTGTGTACCAAAACCAAATTGTTCCGATGGTGATTTACGTGGAAAAGAAAAATATAAAATAGCGGTTAAAACTGGTACTGAAGGAAAAAAATTACTTTTATTAAAAGCATCTGGTACAGATGCAAATGTTTATTTAATTATACATGGTGAAAAAGCTAATTCCGATACCATACATTTACAATCATCTCAAACACATAAAGATCCATTTGAACATGGACATACAGATGTATTTATACAATTTTTACCACAATTAGGTAAAATAAAAGGTGCAACACTTTGGCATACAGGTGATAAATCACAAGGTTGGTTTATTGATAATTTAATGATTACAAATGAAACATTAAATACAACAACGTTTTTTCCGATACAACGTTGGCTTGATGCAGATGAATATGATAAAATGACAAAAATTGAACTTATTCCAAATCAACCACCTGGCTACGCTCAATAAAGAAAACAAAACACTCATATATTATAAATATAACATTATACTTTCTATATATTTCCATGACTATCATATATACATGTTCTTATAATAATAAACTTTCTTTTGAAACTATTTTTGTCTTACTAATAAATTGTATAAGAAGAAAATTAAATATTTACGAACTAATATTTTGATATTAATATTTCTGTTTTGTGAAGGTTAATTGAAAAAAAAATTGTTTTTTTATTAATCTAATGACAGACATGTTGCATGTAATCAAGTCAGTTATCACTATATCAATAAAAAATAGACAACAGAAAGAGAAAATTATTTATTAACGTCGAAATTAGATACATTAATCATGTTACTAATGAATGTACCTTTTCTTTTTTTTATTCATAATATGATAAAAGAGAAATTTTTTTTTGACGTTGAATAAATTATATAGTTTAGACAAAAGAAAAGTCCAAAAGTGAATTTTATTTCACAATGAAAATTAATAATCTTGAATATTTACAGTACACTAGCTAAAAATGAAGCGACTATGACTAGAGAAAAGTTCGCCAATTGGGATTATATTTTGTTGGAAAATATTATTATTCTTCTTGGATTGATGTTAATGTTAAAGTTCGATTTCGTACTGTATGTGATCGATGATGTGTTGGATATGAGTGACGTAAATGATTTCTATCAAATGGTGAAATTTGATAAAATGATTGACCTCCATGTTTCTTAGTCGTTTTATTTGATGATGTTAAATGTTTTTGATTTACATGTGAATAATTTGGTGCTGGAAGTTGATCAAATTGCCAACATAATTTAGATAGAAATTGTGAAAATTTCATTCCAAAAGTAAGTTTTTCATTTGACATACTTGTATCTCTACAATATAATACATTAAAATGCATAACGCTTATATATCACCTGTAAAACATACGTATGAGCAATTGTTTTGAAATGCGCGGACTCTTCGTATGACATGAATAATCTATTAGTCAAAAAGAAAAAGGAAGAGAAGTCACATTCTTTTTTATTTACGTACATATATTTTCATGCATGTTAACCTTTGATATTATTTCCCAGGCTATAACTGACAAAACCTCGATTTACAAAAACAAACATATATGTATATAGCTGTGTGACTAATAGACAAATACACTTAGCAAAAAGACTATATTGTACATTTCTGCCTAATAAAATTATATAGAAATGAATTGTTTGTTTTATTAACAATCATTATACCACAGAAAACTATGTACTTAAAATAATATTCTCAGATACTTACACGATGTGACCTTAAGAAAAATTTATAAATAAATGGACACGCGTTTTTTTTTATATTCTTGATTGATCAAAGTACCGTTTATATCTGTTAGATAATTATACTACACTTCTTGTTTTCCTTTACGAGACGATTACATTCGTAGGAAACGCTAGACAAGGAGATAGACTTCTTTTTTTTGTCGGAAGGATAACTGCTATAAAGAAAGTTTCCCAAGGACTATCAATGACGAGAAAATGACACAATGTATACATGGGTGTTAATGAAACTATAAAAAAATAAATACTAAAAAGATAGTTTTGTATATATACTGAATAGTCGACCTTGAATGGGTTTGTAAGTATATATATATATAGCTATTAATATACTTAGAGATAATAAAGGAAAACGAAATTATATTCTAAAAAAATATCAGATGATTATTTAGATTATATTATGAGCTATTTTCATAATATTGTTAGTATTCAAATTCGATTATTAATCTTGAGATATTTTGTTATGGGATTAAAACAGTATCAAGAAAAAGACTATTTCTTATTATAAAAAAAAAGCTACGAGTGTTTCGGTAATCGAAATAACCTGTGAGAAAATGAAAAGTAATTCTTCCAAGCTTGAAAAATTTTGTTTTGTTCGCTTGATGAATTGCAACATTATTTATATAGAGAAATTTTCGATTCGCAAAGTTGGTTTTTTCCTGCAAAAGCATTTTCGCTTCTTCCTACTTTGAATCATTGATACTTATAAAATCATAAACTGACTCAAAACAAATAGAAAATCTCCATCTTTCTATGTCTTCTTTCATTAACTTTCTATAGATCTAAAAGTATTAAATATCCGTGTATTTATTTTGTTAATAAAATTATTTTAACCTATATTGAAATATGAACTATTCAATAGAAAGAAAAAGTCAATTATATAATTATATTTACTGATCAAAACGACTCATTTACATAGCTAAGAAATTTGAGATATTTTATGTTTAAATAAAATAAAGAAAAATGCAGCTACTTAGTAATTTCTTTCAATACAAAGATCTCTTGCCTTATGTGTTTGATCGAAGAAGATATTTACAATGTAATAAGATAAAAGAGGATGTCTAGTACCCGGTAATCCTCGTGCTTTTTGGAATTTGTTTTTGATGGTGATAAAATATGCATTGCACTCCAACTGTGCCCTGCCCTGTCCTATTAGTATCGAATTACATTCATTGAGATAGTAATATTAGGCCTTTGTAATTATAATCGATCATTTATCGAATGAATGTGACGAAAAAAATATTTTATAAGATCTAGATTGAGTTACTTTTCTTGTGTAATTACAAAATCAACATTTAATTATTTTAATTTTTCTTATTTATAAACTCAAAATTGATATCAGAATAGAGATAAGTATACTTCTATTTTTTTCTTGAAATTAATATAATAACTTATATTTTTCATGGTTAAGTGTAAAAATTTTCTATCCAATTATTAAAATTTCATGACTATTTATAATTAATGTTATTCTCCACATAATAACATATATTTTCATGTTTATTATTAAAACATTTCTATAGTCTACAATACATTATGTTGATATACACTCAAATATTTCTACAATAAAAGTCATTTTATAAGATATACAATTATTTATTATCATATTGAAAACGCTAAGTGACATTCATAATAAAATGAAGACGAAGAAAATGCAAGTCTATACTGTCATTATTTATCATATACACATTTAATCATTTTGAAAAGAATCACATTAGCATGATCTTGTCAGATAAATATAATTGTCAATGAATGAATATTTAGAGAATCGAGGATAGTGAGAGATACGAATGATTTATTCGATGGCCATGAAGTCAAGGTCTCTCATTAGTCACATCGAAAAATAGTAAATAAAACACACTCGTATATCTATGTATAGAAAATATTGTTTGATTTCATTCTTCATTCGAAGTTAAAAATACGCAGATATATTAAGCAAGTGCACAATATTTATTTCTTCGTATTATATACGTATAATCAATGACAGACACTGGAGTTCCTGCTATAGCTGAACATTTAGAAGATGCTATTCCTGATATGTAATTTATTAACAATATATGAAAAAATAAATATTTAATTAGTTTTGTTCATTGTTTAGCACTAAAGAGATCGATACAGAAACTGCACCAGTTGTTGTAAAGAAATGGAGAATATGGAAAAATTTATTTGTTATTTGTATAGCATGGACGCTTCAATTCACTGCCTTCAATGGTAATTAATAATTAATAATATATATAAAAGTCTATAAATTAAAATAGGTATATCAAATCTTCAATCAAGTTTAAATGCCAAAGGTAATGTTGGTATGAATTCTATGGCTATCATCTATGCTTTTTTGATATTTTCATCTGCTTTATTACCTAATCTAATGGTAAATCTAATAGAATTCTATAAGATTAATAATTTAAAACATTGTCTTTTAATTAGATGAGTATATTTGGTATGAAATGGACAATAGTAATAGGTCAATTTGGTTATCTTGCATTTATTGCCGCAAATTTAAAACCTGTACCAGCATTAATGTATCCAGCATCTGTATTAGTAGGCCTTGGTGGTGCAGTATTATGGACTTCTGAAGGTGCTTATGTAACACAGATTGGTATGCTTCATGCTGAGTCGAAAGGAAAAAAACCTGAAACAGGTGTAACACAGTTTTTTGGTATATTTTTTGCTTGTTTTCAAACAAGTAAGTTAAATTGACTTCATTAAATAGTTCATTTATTTTTCTAACGTTTTTTGTCTAGGTCAGATCTGGGGAAATCTTATTAGTTATTTAGTTTTACAACCAACTTCTAAATCAACCGTAAAAAATGAAGTATCAACTGGTTCAGTAGTTCAAAGAATATTTATCAAAAATGTCACAAATCTAACTAGGAAAGATTATCAATGTGGTGCAGGATTTACTGAAAAAGAGTTTCATTCTGATCGTAGTGCTCCTGTATCAAAGAATTTAGTATGAACATAAATATATACGAAAGCAAAAAAATCATTTTATTCTTGTAGGCATTTACTTTGTGTTATATCTATATTGGTCTTGCAATAGCAAGTATTATTCTTATTGCTCTTCTATTGGATCAAAGACGAAGTAAAACAGATTCAAAAAGTAAATCTTTCTAATATATCTATGATTATTATGTATGTGTGTTGTGTCGGAACATATGTTAGACACAGATATCGAAAGATAGACAAAGAAATTATTGTTTAGAAAATCAAGGATTGTTTATATAATCGTGTCATTATGAATGTAATGCATTCTTCAAATATATAATTTTTCGATATAGTATTGTAAACTAATTTGAAAAAAGATGATGTTATTTTATAAAAATACTTTTATTGTATATAAAATACTAATATTACGAAATTTAGGTTCTATCAAAGCCCAATTAAAAAATTCTCTTCATCATGTGGCATCTACATTTAAACATTTAAGACATCTCAATCAAATTTTACTTATTCCATTTACTCTTTGGTCTGGTTTAGAACAAACTTATATTGGTGCCCAATTTACCAAAGTAAGAAGAAACTTAACTAAATTATGCACATGTCATTTTTTTTGTTCATTTAGGGATTTATAACATGTACTGTTGGTATTAAATATGTTGGTCTTGTGATGATTGTTTATGGTGTATGTAACGCATTAAGTAGTTTTAGTTTTGGTCATATTGCAAAACATATTGGTCGAATATATTGTTTAATGTTTGCTGCTTTAATTGATTATGCATTAATAATAACTATGCTTTTATGGGTGCCACGAGAAAATCAATTATGGGTTTTATTTATACTTGCTGGTTTATGGGGTGTAGCTGATGGTTGTTGGCAAACTCAGAGTAAATAAATCAAAATCTTATTATAAAACTAGAAATTTTCTCTTATTTTTTTTTATTATTAATAGTTGCAGCTACATATGGTACAATATTTACTGACAACGAATCAGCATTTTCGAATTTTCGTTTATGGGAATCGCTTGGATATGTTATTGCTTATGTGTATACTCCACGTATTCGTATAAGATATGCACATATTATTCTTTTATGTGTACTTACTTTATCAATGATATGCTATGCAATCATTGAGATTAGAGAAAAACGAAAAAAGAAAAAAGCACCTGAGGAAGAACCATCGAAATCAAAAGATGACATAGAATCCACGATTGCAACAGCTCTTTAAGAAAACTCACAAAATTAGGTTTTTAATTTTAAAATATTCTTGAATATATGTACTTTGTATTTAATTATAATAAATATGTGAACTCACTGGAAATATATGCTTTTTCAGATTGACATATAATACACAAGATTTTCTTCGATTCTTGTTTAAGATACTTGGCAATCAGTAGAAACTATATTGATAAAATTTTGATGACCTATATAGAAGCCAATAATTCGCTATTTAATTAGCTGAATGAATATAGATAAAGATATAAAATTGTATTATACAGTATATAGAAAAACCTTCATCAAGACAAAAATAGTTTGATTTTTTCATGTGTATCTATTCGACAACTAGGACATGTCTTGAGTTCTTGAGCACATTCGAAACATGCGACATGTCCACATAGAAAAGCTACATTAATTACTCGATCCATACATATTTGACAGCATTGTTTATCTTCAAGTTTTTCGATCATTTGTTCCAAATATAGAAAGTGAAAGCATTGTTGGTGAAAATAGAAAAGGACAAGAATGAAATCAATTGTTTTATCCTAAGGATTTATCGTTTGATCTAATTCCTCAATGATAACTTAATCAAAAAAAGAGAGAAGAAATTTTTTATAAAAACAAGTTTTTATTAAGGGAAATAAGGAAAGGAAAGGAAAAACATTTGTTTTTGTCAGTTTAAAAGATCTTGATTTCGATTTGAAATAAAACATTTATTTAAATAATTAATGTAACAAAAATGAATGAAATCTTTATTTAGTTCCCAGAAAAAAATATTCTTGTGAGTGAATTAGAATTTTCAAATCCGCCACCACCTGAGTAAACAATGAACTTTGTATCCATAGTAGAAGCATATTCTAGCATTATTCCCTTTTCTGAAAGAAAGGGTTATAAGGTGGACAAGAATACTTAAAGTTTGTTTGTCTGTTCAAGTCAATCAGGTTTCAGCATTTTATAAATCAGTAAAAACGATTGATTAAAGATAATCGAAATCGAAGAACTCGAATCTAATGTTAGTTTTTCACATCCTCTTTAAGTGCCATTTTTTACACAAAGAACTATTCTCCTGACATACATGTATCAGTTGAAAATTGATTTCAACTTTTAAGTTAGATGTATGCCTCTGAAGAAACTTGAGCTACGATCAAAAAAATATATAAATAATAGTATTTATATTGTTTAAGGTATTACTAAATAATTTATCGATACTAGAATTGCGTGAATCAGATTCAAGTATTCGTTAAGATTGAGAAAACCTAACCGGTGCAGAAGGACATCTCTAATATATTCGCCAGGTATTATTTGAGTAGTAAACAACACATGATTGCATTTCGATTTCTTTTTCTTTCCTGTAATACATTTCCCTATTGCTAAAAGGCTCGTGAATGCGTAGATTTTTCTGGTCATTTACCTGCATCCTGTGACACCATCAAGCTTCTCTCTTTTCTCATTTAATATAATTGTCGCTTGGTCCTTTTTATAAATATCTAAATATGGTCTATTTCAAGTGAATTATTTGTATGGACAGCACACTGCATATATTCTCTCACTCTTTTTCTTTTGTTGTTCTTTTTCTTATTCTGTATAGGTGAAACGGTTGATTGCTCTAGTCATTCTTCTTTTTTTTAATATCTACGTCAGACAATGCAGTAGAAATATTTTTTACACAGAGATTATTCGCATCCACTGCTCCTATTAGCTATTATATTGATTGCATTTGAAAAGAATTATTCAGAAGCGAAGACTATTAACTTTTGAGTTGATCAAAGACTAAGAGAGAAATTTTCTATTTTTATTATTTCCTTTTTGATCATTAAGTTTCTTCTTTTTCATAGAGAAATACAGGGAGAATTATCATAGCAATGCCAGCACCTCAACGGTAAGCGATAAATTTATCATTTTGAGAAAACGATGATTTCTTTTAGCAATCATCTCTACAAGTTGATGATTGTTGGTGATGAACGTGTTGGAAAAACAGATTTTTCATCAGTGAATAGTGTATGTATAGCAGAGATATCTTCTATTCTATAACTATTCGATATTTTCTTTAGAAACTGAATTCAGAAGAATGGTACATTGATTTAGGAAGCTACAAAGTCGTAAGTTGATTTTAAAAGTTTTAATTGGAAACATGATTTTTTTTAGAGTAAAATAGTAAGCAATCTCAATGGTAAACAGATCAAACTCATAATTGTATGTCTTTCATTTTGATCGAGATTGATAAACTTCACATTTGTTTTGTATTTTCTTTTAGTGCGATATGAGCAGTGCAGAATGTGATCGTCAAATCAGAAGTAATCTTTTATTTTGATTTACTATCAAGAACCTCCTTCATTTTTGTATTTAGGAACTTTTTATCCAGTTGTACACGGTATTTTTATTATTTATGATTCAACAAACAGAGTATGATTGACATGTTCTTCCGAAACTTAATTTGAAATAATAATTCTGTTTTTAGAAATCATTTCAAAATTTAAACAATTGGTTGCGTGAAATTAATAATCATGGAGGCAGACATGTGATGAAATTGATTATTGGAAATAAATGTGATTTAGCAAGACAAAAGGCAGTTGGTTTTCACGAAGCTAGAGTAAAGTATATTTAATAGTTAAGAAAAAAAAGAACATTTTATTTCCAATTAGGAGTTTCGTATTCAATCAAATATTTCCATGTTTGAAGTTTCTGCACAAGATCGTACTAATGTTAAATCAGTAGTTGAAAATATGATTTGGAAAATTCGATCCGACTTAACATCAACAATCAATCGTCGACTTGTTCAGTATAGAGAACAAATTGATTTAGAATTCGTACCTTATATATCTGATATTGGTTCAAATGCTGTCGAACAACATGTAAATGATCAAGGTCCTCATGATAATACAGAAAATGAAAACGACCCGGTTTCGGTTGAAGAGAGTGATGATACGACACACAATGAAAGTGTGGATGAAGGTGAAATGAAACGTGCTCAAATATTATCACCTGAGAATCAAACAATTGAAGAGAAAGCTAAGCAACCAAATGTTATTAGTTTTTCAAAAACATTAAAAAAAATTTTTTTACATAAAAAAGACAATTAATTAAAATATTTATCAATTTATATAATCCTGCATTTAACGTATCTACAACATAGTTTATTTTTTATTCACGAAAAAAAATAAAATAAATATATCGAAATATATATAAAGTCTACTTTTTATATTAAAGATAAATGTGAATGTAAATGAAGAATAATCTATATGACAACAAGAAAACATATTTGTAAATTTCATTGATTACTCTCCATGAATATCTAGTGTTTATTAACTTATATCTTTTAAAAAAGAAAAATGAGACATTTTTTTATATATGATAAAGGTAAGGTGCCTTTTATTTAGGAATGATGTTATCCATTAACATTTGTATTAACCATTATGAATATTTCTCACATAACTTATTTGATAATTTGAGCAAATAATACAAGAACATAAACAGAGCTAAGACGCAAGTATTTGTACTTGAGAAATAAATAAAATATATTGTCAAAGTAAGGTTAATGTATTTGATCTGACTCGCTATCAGCCATTATTGCAATGATACGTATTATTGTGTCACACAGACAAACATTCGTGCATGAAGACGTATATTTAGAAATTTAGTTTTTTGACGTGTAAATCAGAACTTTATCTAAGATATGGTTTTCTGAGACTATCTCTTAGTTTCGATGTATCTAACTATTTCTTTTTCATTTTTTATCAGCAAAATCATTTGAGGGTGTGGGTGTGGGTGTGGATATAGACAAAACCCGCACTC